GCCTCCGCACATCTCCTTGGTAGTTATTGTCTCCAAACGGACATATGATCTGCTGGCTCATCAGTTTATGGGGATAGGCGGTCAGTTAACTCGTGCGACTTCGCTGAATAATTCGCGCGAAATCGTTTGCAATGTAACCGCAGCTTAAGCCAAAAAGCGCATTAAAACATCGAAACGAAGCAACCTAAACGCGCAACATATGAATAAAATATATCAGGTAACCAGTGAACTTATTATCAAGCAAATTTATTGTGAAAACGATCTACATCCGCTATGTTCTACATCACTGTTTAAAATAATTGCTTTCTTGCAGGAAGGAAGTCCAAACTAGCTTTGCCGCTTTTCATATTTCTTATGATTTTGTTATGAACAATTAAGCCCAAAGAATAAATTCAATTAAATATACTTACGGCAATAAGCGAATATGTGAAATTAACCGAAAATGTTTAAAGGTGAATGGCATTCAAGCTGCTGAAAGCATGAAATCAAGCATTTCGATTATTAACAGATGTACAATTAAATGTCGAAAGCATACAATGATTCCTAAAGTAAAATTACTTTGAACTATCGAAAAGCTATTAATTAACGGAAACAATAATTGTTTTAAGTGCATATAAGAAAAGATTCGATCGTTAATTATTTGCTGTAACAAATTACTAGCAAATGAAGACCACAGACGAACGACGCTTTATCGAATTTGAGAAAACAATCCTGAAAGGATTTACTTATGTAAGTGTTATTTAACTTCTTTATTTAATAATGAACACCGTTCGAGTACGAGTTTTTGTGAAACTCTAAAAAACGGCGCTAACGTGTCAATTTCCAGAAAAAAAACATACGCGTAATTTAAAATTTTAATAGCGTAATTTAAAAAACCAGACCAAAACATGTACAAGTTTGGATTATACGACGTACAAACAACAGGTCATTCTGTAATAAGAACAACTCATAAGAATAAATAAAAAAATAGCTTTACCATTTTTCAGCTAAAGAAAAAATCGTCTGTGCGATCAGCGCTCGTGTACAACTAAATACGATAAAATCCTGACCTGTCCAAGCAAAAAAACCATCGCTAACTGAAATGTTCAAAGTCAAGGGCTATAACGATTATTACGATTGTTTTACTGAAAACAGCATAACTAATTGAGAAAAGGAGCGTTTAATGAAAAGGAAAATCCGCAAGTTATAAAGCCGGCCTATCATTATTAAAACATTCAGAGTTACAACATGGACTTAAATTATTGATAGGTTTATTATCGTTTTTGTAATAATGACGTTGGATTGATCGGCGAATCTTACCGATATTAGATTTTTGGATAATTTAGATACAAAATATTTCTTGATTGGATTGGAAGCTTTACGCTTCCGGAAAAGCGTCCGCACTATGTGAACTTGACGCCAGTGACTATTTTCGACACCAGTTAACAGCGAACAAAAACTATGAAAACGATTTATTTGCACCGAAATAGCATAAAATGTATTTGGAATTACTGGCTGATATACAAATCGCGGATAGCTTAAATAAACATATCCCAAGACAAAATACGCAGATCTTCTTGCATTTAGCACGCAGTAAAAGCTCAAGTACGGCTAGACTTAATTGAATTGATCAATACATATTATTTTATCTCTTATTTACTACTTAAAAAAACAATTCCAGGCTACGATTAATTTCTATAAGCTTCATAAATAAAAATAAGTTCAACTGATATATAAATGAGTAAGCGACGTCATTTCAATAAATCGTCAAGTCGCAACCTAAAAAGGATCTTGAGCAATCTATTCGGATTGAGAAAAATCAGCTACTCTCAAAGTCATAGGACATCAGATGAAACTACGCATACGTTATCACCAAGATTGCTAAATATTTGCTATTCATTCCTACAATTTTATGCGCTACGACTTCACTTTATCTTAATCTGAATCTACTTTTTACAGTGTACCTATTAGTAATTTATGTGAACTTAAAATTAATAACCAAGTCTACGGTTTGATTCCACATTTTTAAGGCGTATTTAAACGCAAGTTGTTATATTGCGTTTCTTGCAAAATCCAACAAACCAAATATTCAGTAATCACGTAATTATAGTATCTATATATATATATATATATATTCGTATAGCATATACTGAAGCTGATTTCTTTTAACTGCATTCTTGTCTCAAAGGAATTAATCTGTCTGATCTTCCAAATAAATGCGCTTTTTAAAAACCGACAGTTTTTACGTATGTTAAATTATCAAAACGTAAAGCTTTCTAAGCAAATTAATAACATCTACGTAAATGATAATTTCTTGCTTTTCTCTTCCTTTACATACTTTTTGCACTAAGTGATGTCGAAAAAGCGAATGACCACAACACAGGAATAATGAAAAATAAATATTTGCCTAGTTTTTAGAAGCAACAGCTCTCACCACTGACCATACTTAATAAATAATAGAAAGCTTGATTTTAACTAGTTTGCAGAATAATTTGTAAAGATAAACATCAAAAACCACCGGAAGAATTGCCGATTGTAGTTAAAAGTACTTGCGAATCGAAATATTGCCATGAGCAAACGAAAACCAAACCAGCCAGGTGATATTTAGTTTTAGCCAGTCTCCTGAATGGTTTTATTGTTAATTTACGATTTGCAATTAACCACTGCAAAAAGAAAGTTCCATTTTAATTGAAAAATAATGTTTTCATAAAAAAGCAGTAAAAATTTAAATAATTACAAAAAAATTATGTTGATAACTCTTGAAACGTACAAAACAATTCAATATTTCAAAGTGACCACTTGGGTAAATTGAAACAATAAAAATGTATCAGCTTCCTATTGCATGTAAAGAAAGGAAGATATCTAGAGAAATAAAAAAATTAAACCCGTCTAACAAAGAGCGGTGTGAGGTCACCGACCTAAACCTGACAATATTCAAGATTCAAGGTCCAACTAGAGGTACATTCCAAGGATAAGCTTGAGTTGCGTTTATGAGAAAATCGCCGGTACTTGACCAGAAACTGTTATTACTGTCTGAGTAACTCGCATCAAAAAATTAGATTGTAATGGGTATACTGTTGGCAAATGGGAGGCATCCAAGTTCTATCAAATCTCAACATTTTAGACAATACTCGGAAGGTCTAGTGAGTAATCAACTTGGGAAACAGGATATTAAACTTATCTTGATAAAACGATTTGAAAATCTTGGCAATTTCCAATTAGTGTGTTAAAACTGTTTGGTTTGATATCAATGTATATGCAACCTTCAAGAACAAAGGAACTAAGTTTGGCAAGGTTACTGCTGAGAGAAGTGCATACTAATCGAACGAATTGGGCTCAGACAATGGAAATTGATGAAAAATAGCAGATGCATCTAGTTGGAAAAAAAGTGTCTCTGACACAGCCAAACCCTCGTTTAGACACCAAGCCATTAACCCATCCGCTACTAAATGGTTTTTTGGGTAGATCTGCCGAGATTAAATGGAACAAAACTTACCACTTCAATTTTTTACACAAATAAGATAAAAACACTAAATATAGTGCTAGCTTTACTTTGTTTTTAATGTAAAAATTAACTAAAAACGTTATTCAGTCGTGGCTTGTTGTTGCCGTGACTGACACTGACAGAGAGCGAGATGCCAAGCGATCGGGGAGGGTCTCGGAAGGGATCGCTTGCACTCGGAATCAAAGATAATTTTTATTATCGGATTAAAATGGTAAATGGCAATAGTTGAACGTTAATAATGCAACAATAAATATAGGTTTACACATACAATGATATAAAGTAAGAATCATTATATGATACTTATAGCAAACTGAAAATACAACTTATGTTAAGCTGGTTGCATAAAATGGGGGCAAGCAACCGAAATTGGCGGGGCGTTCAAACGGGTTCGTGACCTACGCAAACTAACTTCTCGTTTAAAATTTTTTTGCGGTTCAGTTTTCAAAGGATGTTTATTAATAAAACTCAGGTTGCTAAACAAATTACAGTTTATTGATTTGCAAGCGAGAGCAATTTATTTAACTAATTTCATTTGCCAGAGCCCATCGTTCAGATAATGACAATTTTCCACTCCTATTCCTTTGTTAACCTTCGCTCTGAAAAATCAATTTCAGTATGTTAAATTATAAAAGAAATGTTTTATTTGTCTAACTCGTAGTGTATCTACAGTATTGCCCATAATTACGACATGTAGATGCTACTTCAATTCAATTTGTACAGTCTGAATGACGAAGAGTTTCAACAAACTTACATATCTTCAGTAGATAAAGTCGTTCGACCAATTGCCAGAGCATGCTCTTTGCCTTCTGCCATTATAGCCTACCCAAAAATGTATTAAAAAAGTAAATAAACCCACAGAACCATCTGACTTACGACTATAGCATCTTTTGGAACTTCGGTCATTTGAGCCCCGGGTGATGTGAGTCCAGGACACATTATATTAGCTCCGCTAAGCACAAAGCGAATAGCGCCTTTGTCTACTTGCTGCATGGGAAGGAAAAATGGATCTAAAAGTACATATAAATTAAGAATAAATGTGTGTGGAATGCTGGATTAATTCAAGCTAACTTACATTTGTGAAGTAGTCTCAAGGTGGGCATCCATTGTCCTTCTCTGTGCCTAAAAAACTGCTGCTCCCCAGCAGAATTCACGATGATTTCAATATGATCATGGCTGCAAGCAGTACAATTTCAAATTATGAATCAGAATTTTTTTTTATGGAATAATCGTTTGATTAAGATTTAAGGATATCGAAACACATCACAATAAACCGATTTAATATACAGGAAGTTCCTCAATAGTTTAATGTACATGAACTTCGCGTAATAACTAATAATTAAATAATACGTGTTACATTACATATTAAATTATAATCAAGTTTTAACGGGAACTTGGCTTTTGAATTGATAGTTGCATTAACTGGTACAAGCTGGAATTATGGAAGGAGTAAATAACATAATTTCAGTAGTAAAATGTGTCAGTGAAAAATAAGCTTTAGACAATTAGACTTAGGCGATAGACAGATCACAGTAAGAAGAACCAAAGTGGAAATTTAGTTTTGCTTGATAAACAGATAAAAATAAAAACTGTTTCTTTATCCGAGGATTTGGAAGACGCCAAAGTAGCAAAAGGTCAAATTAAAAATGTATAACAAACCAGTCAGTCATTTTAGAAATAGAGTAAAACACTGTTGTTAGGCAGCTGTTAGAACTAGGTCGGATGAGACAAAATCACAAAAATTAAGAAAAATTTAATGGGTACCATAAAATAAGATACTGTCGCATACGAAGCGACAAAGCGATAAAAAAAGCTTGAAAAATAATGTCTAAATCAAAGATAAATATTTTGAGTAAAATGTAATACGAGCAAACCAACTCCAAACAACTAAACAACATAATTACACCATATCCACAATCAATACGAATTGAGACTGAAAAAATGGACAAGAACACAAATAAATCAAACGAAATCAAATTTAAACGTTGAAACATGTTGCTAGAAAAATTTAGAGCGGTGTACCAGCGGTAAAAAGCTTCCTGGAGAGTCAATTTTATTTCAAGATACATTAAGTTATTTTGAAACTATGCACCTTCTGGCCTCTCAAATATGAAAAACATTGGTTGTATGTATGCAAACTTGTTGCTGGCGGGTTTATACAGAATTTAATTTTAAATTTAGTAGTCAAGATTTAGCGTTTGGCTGAAATTCAACAGCAAAACTGCTCAATAATGGACTTTTCCATAGATTCTGAAGGATTCAGCAAACAAATTTAAAATCAATACTAACCACTTGACTAGTTTAAATACATCTTTCTTGGGCAAAATAGCATCTAAATAGTTATCCAAGAAGGGATAGGACTCCAAAATTTTGGCTCGGATCGATTTCTGAACAGATGATTTCAGTTGCAAAACACCGGATATACTCTCCTTTTCGTCAAACCTAAAAAACACCAAAGATGGTTTCCGTAATTTGAAAAAGCTCAAGCATATTCCTTTAATGTACGTACTTTTTAAACATTTTAGTGCTAACGAAATGGGGCTCTATTGATAATTTAATGCCAGGTTGAAAGCACTGAAAAGTGTGGTTAAGTTTATTATTCTGAAGTTGAAAACAACAAGACAGTGAAGTATTGCGTATAGGCGCTCACGTTTTGCCTCACTCTTTCACGTATGCTGTAGGAACCCGACACCAGGATAGTTCGGGTGCATAATATTTAAGAGAGTTTTTTTTTAATTTAGTGTGTTTCCTGCTTGTTTATTCAAGTTGGATTTCAGTTTTGAGTGAAATCTTTGAATGAATTTTTGCTTAAGGAAAATAATCTTTGGCATATGGAAAGATTGCGGCATGTAAACTTGGCGCCATCGTTCTGTTATCTATTATGATGCCAGAGATTGGTGGCTGTCTGTGAAATCCAACGTTTTTCTTATAATTGAAATAAAAGTTACTACGGTGGTAATTAAACATACATTATCAGTTTTTATCAGGAAGGTGAAATCAGTGTGTTATCGGCGGTTTATCTGACGGAATTTGCGCTGCTCACCGCTTAATAAGTTACTTTTTCCCCCTGCAGTTAAGCACGGCTTGGTTAAATTTGATTTTTTACTTTTTATACAGTTGCAAGTGTATTATGCAAAATTAGGTAACATGGAGAATCCTACCATAGGGGAACAATACAATCTAAAGTGGAATCTGCACGTTCCTAATTTCATTCACACTTTCAATGAACACTTTGACAATGAGGCTTTAGTGGATGTTTCTCTGTTCTGTGAAGGCCGTTTGATTAGAGCACATAAACTCATTTTGTCAGCGTGCAGTGAGTATTTCCAGAAACTCTTTCAGGTAATTAGCCCCATAATCATTAGCATCTCAGCCTCACTCAGCAGATTTATTAATTGAAGGTGCATAAAGAAGTACCACATCCCGTGATATTCTTAAATACGGGCCGATTTACTGTCCTCAGGCAAATCGTACATTTTATGTATCATGGAGAAGTCAGGGTAGCCGACAAAGATTTACCCGATGTTCTAGCTTTAGGTGAATCCTTGCGGGTTAAAGGTAAATGCCTATTGTGAGAACAACTTATCTGTTATTTGCTAATAATTATCTGGCTAGGTTTATCTTCTGTTAAGCTGCGTGATATGCCGGTAGAAGAAGCCAAAGCAAGTAACTCACTGCTAAAAGCCCGCAAAATAGCGGATAAACCTGTCCAAAATACGAATATTAAAAGGCAAGATGTACCAAACAAATCGATATTGAGTGACGAGCCCAAATTTGTTCCAATGTAAGTATGCTTTTAATAAACGAATACTCTACAATTGAGCGGTTTTTGATGAATATCCACGAATGTTCCACAACAGCTTCTATGTGTTATTATTTATCTAATTCATGTGCGATCCCAAGGCACCATTAATTCGTTCGAGTCAAATGAGGGTCTATATCCATATATAGATAAAACTTAATTTCAAATGGATTTTAGGGCACCAGCCGTTACCTATAGTAGACGGAAGAGTCCGAAATTAACAAAACCGGTGGAAACACTTCCTGTTATATCGTCGGTCGTATCTTTAGCTTCACCAATCCCAATTGTAGCCGGTGGGGTAAGAAAAATATTGTGAGTGTTAGTTACAATCATTAATTACGCATTTTAGAGCTCACTTGTTAAACGAGATATTGCAAATAATGAAACACCCAAGTCAAGTACCATCAATGAAGAAGCGAATATTTCAGTTTCAAAACCGCCCCACGCTTTTATGATTTTTGCAAAGGAATGGAGAAAAAAGTTGACCGTTGAGCATCCAGGTATGATTTTTGTTTCTACACATTTTTGTGGTGGTGTCTGGTGTATTTAAAATGTTTGGTAATATGACTCGTAATTTTTTAAAACTTTTCCTAATTCGTTTGAACCGTCTCAGTAAAACCTGGCAAGTTTAATTTCAAAATTAAGTAGGTTCTGTAGTTGTAAGGTACATAATATATCTCGAGTATAATTGCTAAACTATGGTGTACCGTAAAAAAACACAAATTGTAGAAGAGAACAATAAAGAAATCTCCGTGCGATTGGGCGTTATGTGGAAAAGTCTGTTGCCAGAAACAAAGAACATCTACTACCGAGAAGCGAAAAGAGCGGAAGATGAACACAAATCAAAATATCCGAAGTAGGTACCAGTCATCGATAATTACTTCGTTTTGTTGATTAATGTGTCAATTTTTTATAGCTATGATAGTGCATCTGGGAAGCTGAAGAGGAAAGCAGATGTCCTGAGCGACAGTACAAATAATACAGTAAGTTCTACTTTAATTCTTTGAAAGCCCGTGTAATTTTAATACTGTTTTAGGATGTAGGTTCTCTTGATCGTCGAAAAATTACCGATAATCAAGAAGAGATAAATATTAGCGACAGTGATTAATATAGCCGGAAATCTAAAGCTTTTTCTGATCATTGAAGCTAATTGTGTAAACTGTAATATTCATTTTTGTGCCGAGTTTTTTTTGAAAATTGTAACCATCAACGGGAATAATTACATTGCTGTATGAATATTTTGTTCTAATTCTAATTTCTAATTCCGTCTACTGACATTTTTTGCTGATGTATTCGTATTATTTTGACCGCGCTTGCAAGCATAGTCATATATAAACATCATGGAACTATCTTGACATTATTTGCTAAAATTCTTCCCCTAATAGTTATTAAATACATCAGTTTATTCCTGTAAGTACAGCTAATAAGTACAATTCCTGGTGAGTAATCCAGTGCGATTGAGATTATATAAAATACGACAGAAACGACATTACTAGAGAGCGAGTATTCAATGAAAAATTTTGCTTAACGTGCAGCATCTCGAATGTAATCAAATATTGCTCTAGGAACGTCCATTGTTTGATCATCCACCAACACAATGTCGAAAGTGTCCAAATACTGTGGAAGCGAATCTTCAATCTGAAAAATTGAACGTTTCGTTATTAAGACCTTCATCAAATCTGTACACAATCTCCTACTTGCTCATAAAGGAAACCAATTTTTAGGGCATTCTGGCAATGTTCCATGCCTTGTGTCATAGCAGCATCTCCCAAGGAATCGCCGAGAACAATTGCATTTTCTCTATCCGCAACCTCACCATAAAAATCGGTGTTTTTCACAGCATATTCGTTTTTATTAAATACGTGAATTATTTTGTCTTTGAAGCCCATAATTGTGCCATCTTCATTAAATTTTAGAAAATTTGAGATCACCTGTAATCCATACAACCATTAGTTATAAAGGGTGCCTATTTCTAAGAAGGTAGAAGATGAATGGGGACATTGAAAAATACTTGAAACTTAGAATGGTTGATGACTTTGAAACACAGATGGTGATTGCAAACGTGTAACTTGAAAATCGGGAAATTAATGATTTTTCTTGTTTTATGCTAAGCTTACCTTAACGTTTGGTAAGTAAACACCAGCATGTTTTAACACCGCTGCCACTATATCACCACAGCCAGCAGAAAACACGAGTGCTGGAACATTGCTATCATTTAAGTCTCTAAAAAACTCCTTGCATCCATTTCTAAAACGAATTTACACTGACAATTAACAACAGTTTGTAGATTACCGCTTTAAAACACCCAAATATACAACGGTTTACCAAGTGCCCGAAAAAAAATAACTATGACTCATATGTGAATAAGTTCAGTTTCTTGACCGATATCGGATAATTGCAAGATGGTTGATTTTCTTCGAAATTCAGTCTGGGCAGTGGTGAAGAAAAAGAAAAACTTTTTTAGCTACCAAGCTTTCGGCAATTGATTGTCGTCTTCCTCAGGGTGCTAATTATTTGACCATAAGAAAAGTAGACCTACGCCTATAATTATTCATTATATTTACAGTACAACATTCACATAAGATGGTTGATTTTCTTGGGAATTCGGTCTGGGCAGTAGTGAAGAAAAAGAGAAACTTTTTTATTTAACAAGCTTTCGGCAATTTATTGTCGCCTTCCTCAGGGTGCTAATTGTTTGACCATAAGAAAGCCGGGAACCCGCCAGAATATTCTATCATTTTCTGTACAGCTTAAAGATTAAATATTTCATCAAGCTTGACAGAACATGATGAATATTCTGGAGGGTTCCCGGCTTTCTTATGCCGAAAATTGCCGAAAGCTTGATAGATAAAAAAGTTTCTCTTTTTCTTCACTACTGCCCAGACCGAATTCCCAAGAAAATCAACCATCTTATGTGAATGTTGTACTGTAAATATAATGAATAATTATAGGCGTAGGTCTACTTTTCCCAAACATCAACAGTTTTGTCAGAAATGTATTAACGTGGTCTAACTGTTAATATTTTTTGCCATGGACGATAAAGCAATTTTCGTATAACTTAATAGACCTTGCAGTGTAATTGATTCAAATTGGTTTATACCTTAATGAAGGCTTACATTCCAAACAAACATCATCGATGTCTTGTTGAGTTACCATCAATCCACTGTAATGGAAAGTCAGACTTACTATTCAAATATCACTTTAGCGAATATGTTTAAATTGAATTTGTTTAGAGTTGGGCAAACCTAATTGCTTTTTCAGACAAATTCCACCAATCTTCCATATGTTTGATTTTATCCTTAACTGGAATATGAGGATCCAGCTCAATTGGGTAATATTTCTGACGCAGTTTCTTCACAGTAGCTTGATAAGTTTCATCTTCAGCAGCTGAGCGAATTCGACTAAACATCGCTAAAAATATCTCAATGCAGTATTATGTAACTAGTCATTCTGGGATTTGCATACTTTGAAGTTGTTTTACGTTAGAATGCGCCCTTGTCTGCATTAGGGAATAATGAACAGTGGCAATTTGATAAATTAAAATTTGATCTGATTTTACCGTCAAAGATGCCTCTGGCCCGTTGTTCTTGGCAATTGCAATAGTATGTGCTCCCAATATTAATAATAAAGTAGGATGTAATTGTGTAAAACGCAATCAAATGGTTTAATTTATTTATAACTGCAGACTGGAATGCAGATTTTGAAATATACTTACCAAAACTACTCAAATGTGGGATGCCATCCTCATGTTGCTTGGTAATTGTTTTGTCAAAATCAGACACTACTTGCAACTTCCTCAAACCTCCCCTTGCGATATTATTGAGGATTTCATTCAGTTTATCCTTATTTTTTATGTGAACATTACTCCTATGTAAAATGCCAATTTCCTCAATAGGATTCTTCATGATCTCGCCAAGAATTTGGGTTAAAACCAATGCCAGTAACAGTTAAACGTAGAGACCCTCTCAGGAGCTCTAAGCAGTGATTTTCTTCGTAAATTATTTTATAAGCTCTATCACTACTGAGATGAGGAATCCGGCACTTACTACCACAGATCACAGAGGTTATAGATTGGAAACTGCCAGATACGCCTGCAGAATGCTATTTGTCGCTTAAATCACCGGCTGCAATCAAAACTAAACTCTAATTTCCACTACTGGAAGAAGAAATCTTTATCGATTGGGTTCACATCAAAATTTCGTGAGGTATTTGATTTCAGTTTATGACATCTGTGATTTCCGTTGAAGTTTCAATAACATTTCAAGCATTTTATCATGCTCCTTAATTGTGATGTTTATGCTAGGGCTTCAATTAACATCACAA